AATTTCAACGAACTCGTCGGCGAATGCGACGAACGGTCTTGGTGCCCACATTAGTTAGCTTCGCTGCTTGCTTCGGAATAATTGCTATCACCATATCTACTTATCAAGGTTGGCATCAGTTACATAAGTTTGGCAAATTATTTCAAAGCAAAAATTATAAATAAAGTTTTGTTTTCAGAAATGAGCGTAACTCCACAAGCTCATCGCCGTGTCCCCCGAGCAGCTAGTTATGCAGAGTGCTTGAAAAGAAAACTCGGTGGGAGTTCTGAACCTTAAATCGCAGATTACGAACGTCAGAGTAATGTATAATTGTTACTAGTAATGTGTAAATGATCAAATTTCAGCTGCTAACGAGTCTTCAGAGCAGTTTCCTCCTGATCTTTTCACACTGGAGCAGCGACGGCATGGCGCTATTATTTTACATCTCGGCGGACTCGTCTATATGTTTGTGGCATTAGCCGTTGTATGCGATGAATTCTTCGTACCAAGTCTTGCAGTTCTCATTGATGTTGTAAGTAAAAGCAGAGATTAAATTTTAGGAATTCTTGCTTTGAGGAGGACCTTGCCATAATGCTATAATTGTGTTTAGCTAGACATATCTGAGGACGTTGCTGGTGCTACGTTCATGGCAGCTGGTGGATCAGCGCCTGAGTTCTTTACATCAGTATTTGGAGTATTCGTAGCGCAGAACAATGTTGGTATCGGGACTATCGTAGGTAAGTAGCATATAAAAAAGCTATTTAGTTGTCATTTAACTTTCATGTCATTCATTTACTCATTTTTCTAACATTCATTCATGCGTTCAATCAAACATTCATCCATCTATTCATTTTACTTATTCCATCCTTCATTTTTTCAGTTATTCATTCCTCATTCATTTATCTAGTCATTAATTAATTTATTCTTTCTTTCGTTGACTGACCAACAGCAGAGCACACAATGGACAGTGGTTTCAGGTAGCGCAACCTTCAACATTCTATGTGTTCTCGCTTTTTGTACCTTATTTTCGCGAGAAGTGCTAAACTTAACATGGTGGCCGCTCTTCAGGTAATAACTCTTAGCCCTTTCTGAGCATGCGCGCTCTATTGTGTGTGTGTTTTTTTGCAGAGATATGACATTCTACATAGTAGCTCTGTTATTTCTGGTGATATTTTTCTCTGATGAAAAGATTTCATGGAATGAAGCACTTACAATGTTCTTGATTTACATCATCTATGGCATATTTATGAAGTATAACACGCAAGTGGAAATGGCGGTGAAAGCACTTTTAAAGGGGAATCGAACTTCATCGCAAATGAGCGTGGGTGCTTTTACTTTTGCATTTTCAAGGGTTTAGTATATATGAAAAATTTCAAGTAAGAAATACAAACCATTTGATAGATCCTTCATTTTCGTACTATCGATTATTGAGGAGTTTGGGTCAAATTGGATGATTTGAATAGTTTTTTATGAGTATTCATTTAGTCAGCCTTATCTGATCTCACTCCGCA